GAGCATTGATTCATTCGAATGCCTAACAACCCAAATCGGACGTTTACATTTGAATAGATGTGGCTCACTGACTGCAGTTTCTATCTTCATTGTCTACGCACCAACATCTCATTATGATGAAAGAGAAATTGAGAAGTTCTACATGGAGCTAGAGGAGTTCTATAAAGAAGACCACACCTTCTACAAGATCATTGTGGGTGATTTTAATGCCAAGATAGGACCGAGAAGATCAGCTGAAGAACTTCACATCGGGACCCATGGCCTAGAATGGAACGAACAGGGTGAGAGACTGTCTGAGTTCATCATGTCGACCAAGACCATGCATGGTAACTCACAGTTCCAGAAGGCAGAGTCTAAACGTTGGACATGGGAGTCTCCTGGTGGACGATTCCACAACGAAATAGACCACATCATATTCAATCGACGGTTTTGCCTGACCGATGTCGCTGTTGTCCCAAAATTTCGAACAGGATCGTACCACCATCTCCTTCATGCAAAATTCTACTTCACAGAGCGGGGAGAAAGGGCTGCAAAGTTCAAAAAGAGAACTCCCAGAATGACCACCAACTGGGAACCCTTTGGTACTATTGCGGCAACATGGGAAGATGCCATTGTTGACAACATTGACGAGGAATACGATCGACTGGTTCAGCACCTCCATGAATGTGCGAGGAACGCCAAGAGAGAGATAGCCACAAAAAATCGCCTATCTTCGAAAACTCTTGAGCTAATTCGCCAGCATGGTTTGGCACATGCCTCAGGCAACCGCAAGCTAACGTCGAGCTCGCAAAGCAGTGCAGAGATGCGATCAAGGAAGACCTCAAAGAGAGAAGAGCAGAAGTACTGGTAGATGCGGCAGAAGCTGGGAAAAGTATTCGTAACGCCTGCCTGTCCTTCGTCAACTACAAGACCAAGATGACTGCCCTCCGACGTCCTGATGGATCCATCACATCCTCCAGAACGGCAATGGAGAAGATTATCCATGACTTCTACTCAAATCTCTTCGACAGCCCTGTCCACTTGCCGACATACCAAATTCCACAGGATGGATATGTCATTCCCAACGTTCTCCCTCCCGAAATCCGACATGCCATTTTGTCGGTAAAGAAACAAACACTACCCGGCCCAGACAAGGTCAGACCTGAACACCTGAAAAACCTGCTGTCAGTACTCATCAATACACTGGCTCGGCTCTTCACTTGCTACCTGTCTGAATGCAAGGTTCCGTCCCAATGGAAAACCAGCAGGACCGTACTACTGTTCAAGAAGGGAGACATCCATGACATTGGCAACTATCGCCAGATCTGCCTATTGTCTGTCATCTACAAGTTGTTCACTTGAGTCATCCTAAATAGGATTGGCAGAACACTAGATGAAGGACAACCATGCGAGCAAGCCGGGTTCCACAAAGGATTCAGCACCATCGACCATATCCACACGATAACCAAGCTCATTGAGGTTTCTCGGGAGTTCAAGATGCTGCTCTGTTTAACGTTCATTGATTTAAAGAAGGCCTTTGATTCTGTTGAGACGGAAGCGGTCATTGAAGCCCTAGCCAATCAAGGCATTCAAGCCCAATACATCAGGATCCTCTGTGAGCTGTATTGCGGATTCACTACTAGGATCTCACCATTCTACAAAGAAGTGATCGTTGATGTCAAGAGAGGGGTGCGGCAGGGTGATACCATTTCACCGAAACTCTTCAGTGCCACCCTCGAGAACATCATGCGACGACTGGAATGGGAAGGAATGGGAGTGAAGTTAGATGGTCGGCAACTACACCACCTCCGCTTTGCCGATGACATTGTTTTAATAACACCAAACATCAGCCAAGCGGCACAAATGCTGGCCGACTTTGACCGTGAGTGTGGAAAGGTAGGACTACAGCTGAATCTTACGAAGACAATGTTTATGAGAAACAGCCTCGTTACTGACGCCCCATTCGCTCTCAAAGGAACGATCATCTCCGAATGCAACAGCTATGTGTACCTAGGTCGAGAGGTCAACATGACAAATGACCTGGCACCCGAGCTGCGCAGGAGGAAGAGAGCGGCTTGGAACGCCTTCAAGAACGTCGAAGAAATAGCTAAGAGGACGAAGAACCTCCGGCTCCAGGCACATCTCTTTGATTCCACTGGTCTTCCTGCATTAACATATGCCTCAGAGACCTGGGCCCTACGCACAGGATGAGAACACTATTCAGGTCTCCCAAAGAAGAATAGAAAGAGCTATGCTTGGAATATCACGTTTCACTCAAATGAGAGAAAGAATCCGGAGTTCTGACATCCATCGACGATCAAGAATCAGGGACGCTGTCTCATTTGCCAAGGTGTCGAAAATCAGATGGGCTGGTCACGTAATGAGATTTAAAGACGACCGCTGGACTAGAGCTGTTACCGACTGGATTCCATGGGATGTCAAAAGACAGTGTGGCCGCCCGCCTACCAGATGGTCAGACTTCTTCGTCAAGATCATGAACGATCGGTTTGAGGCCCTTCATGTTCCCGGAGCGAACAGATGCCATTGGGCTACACTAGCACGCGACAGGGACAAATGGAGACATTACTGGCGCCCGCTCGAGCAAATCGACGACTAACGGGAAATTAAGTGATTAAGTGATTAAGTGAATTGAAATAGTCTCATTTCAATTTTATATCATTTCATGATATAAAATAGTTTTATATCATGATAAAAACTGAAGTTAATAACTGAATGAAGAAGGGTAACCCTGCAAAAATGATGGAGAGAGGAGTAATATCTATGAACGCAAAAATAAATCCAAGTAAGAAAATCACCTCCCCCAAACAAATCCCACAATATCTCAAGAAAGAGTACATATTCATTATTTTCAAAACTGAAAGGAGCACAATGCTGAGTGCTAAACATGTCCATTATATTTAGCAACAGACTACTAATTGAATATCTTGACAACAGCAAATTTGGTGTATTAATTAAACAAATGATAGTCTAAATGTGCTGAGGAGTTGATGGAACATAAGCAAATGGAGTATGAAACTCTTTTAAGAAATTTAGCTGTTAACAATGTTGTCCAGATGATAAGGCACTTGCCTTTTATACAACAATTCCATCCCAGGCACCACAGACAATTCCTTAGCATCACCAGAAGTAGTTTCTGAGTGCAGAGTTAAGAGTAATCCCCGAGCATCCCAAGGCGTGGCTACCAAACAACAACAACAACAAAAACCCTAAAGCAAAACTAAATTCATTTTCATTTAGAAGGTAAGGAATTGAAAATCCAGACATTGAATTAATTGAGAATGTGGTTATGTGGACTACCAGAATAGTGATGAAGTTCCAGTATGTCAAAATTTAGATTTACAATGAAAACTTTGAGTTACATGTCAAAATACTTAGTCAGCTACAGAAGTGATGTAACTATTAGTAAGTAAGAGTAATTAAGTAAGTAGAAGTAAGTAAGAGCTAAGTTGCGTGGCCCTGTAAGGAGCTAGGAAAAGAAAATTTCTGAAGAAATAAATAAGGAAAACATTAGTTATACTCATGGCCTCAAGCACAATAATCTGAGAAAATTGTTGCCTCCACTGGGCAATAGAATAATGGTTTACTATATATTTTTAACTCACAAAATTGAGCAAAAACTGAGAACCATGTTAAAGATCTTAGTGTATCTGCCAAATGTTAGTATCAAATGCAGATGTCACACACTAAAAGGACTTGATAGAGGAAGATTTGTAAAACTATATCATGAAAGAAAAATTTGAGCATTATAAAAATGTACCAGGCATAGCTGGGTGGAAAGGTGGACTTCTACTACAGGTACTAACTGCCAGCATGGACATTTGGGCTGGACATTTGGGCTATTTAAGGAAAGAAGTCATGGGAGTACTGACCAGATACAACTGACCTGGCAGGGTGATGACTGCAGAGACTGGATTTCTTTGAAACTACAAATATTTTCACAAAACAGAAAGAGCCATTTTCTCTCTCACCTGATCATCAAATCCAACATATCCAAATGAGAGCAAGATCTGCAGTGAACTATTCAGTAACCCAGTAATTTGATTCCTTGATATAGTTCCAAGAATTTTGTTTGGCAGAAGCATAAAGGTGTACTCAGTAAGAGTTTAACATAGTTATTTCAAAGCTCAAAGAATGACTGAGGTATCCAGAAGTAGAGAAACAGTCTAAACCTTCGCTGTGAAATGCCTTAATATTTCAGTTCGTTAGCTCTGTCATAGCTGTTTTCTGACACATGTCAACACATTCTTATATTATTGTTTTAGAAAACAATACTTGTATCCTTTTATTATTAACTCTGGATGTTAAGCACAGAATACTTGTAACACATAGAAGTGCATATAGAAGAGCCCCCACAACATGCATTCTCTCCCACACATACTGAAAGAGTAGAGCATTTCCAACAGTCTATGCTGCAGGGGAACTAGTATTTTAGGTGGTGTGGCTGGTTTCATATACTTGAAAAAGTGTAAGCCTGTATTCCTAAACCATAACCAGTATTATAACAATGTCTCAGTAAAAGTAGTACTTAATAGTAAATTAAACAATAAACACACTCCAAAAAACTATCATTTTAACCAAAACACTTCCGATAGTCTTTCAGTGCATTTGTATATATATATAAAAATAAAAGAAATACATATTGCAAAATAATAATCATACATAAATTTTATATATAGATATATGTGAACATTTAGAACCAATTATTTCCTGTTGGGTAGTGAGACAATTTCCAATTTTCCGTTTCTATAAATAATTATTTAGTGTACACATCTTTGATTATTTCCAAAGGAAAGTGAAACACTATTTTTGAGAATGTTTCTTAGTCAATTCAGTATACGTAAATCTATAATCCTGCATGTGAAAGTTCATTAATTCATAATGAACTCCTAAATGTCATATTATGAAATATATTAATAGAAAAATAAAGAGAAGGCAAAAAATATTCTTTATTTTCTATTACCAGAAAAATGTGCCATGATAAATTGCAAGGTTACTTGCTCTTTTTTTTCATAACATTAATATTTATTGCTTTCTAGGAATACTGTATTGAAAGCCCAAGCATTCGTTTACACACAGAAATTATACAATTATATACCGCTTCACAAAGGCAGTGAACACATTACATTCTACAAAATCTACAGAAATTTAAAAATTCTAAATATCAAAAGGTACAGCTGAAGAAACAGGTATAAATTTGGCAGCCAGTAATTTTGACAGGGAAGTTGCAGCTTGTATGACTTTAAATATGTGAATTTGAAAATATCGAGTTTAGAGTAATCATTGTGCTTTGTGTTGATCTGAAATATATAACACTGGCTGTCAAAGAAGCATGTTCAAAAATATTTAATTCACTTCAAAATGTCATACAAATTATGGTGGTTTTTATGCACCGCTAAAGCTTTAGTCATTTAGCTCTGGTACACATTGCTAAGTAATATATTAATTCTTCCAGTACAGTGGTGTTTCATACCATTGACATTTGCATACTCTAGAATAATTTAGGAAGAATGTGTAATATTCACAATGTTCAGAAAAGCAAGCAAAAGGTAAAAGGAACCTCCCTGGTTCTTCTGAGATGGACTCCTATCAACTTTACAAGCATTCATTCTACAAAATAGTACGCTAATGTTTGAACACAATTTCCAAGATAAAGCACATTTTCTCATAAATAATGAAGTCTTTTTCTCAGGCACCTCAGAAGTATACAAAAGAATTTTAGTTGAACAGATCTCTTGGAATGTGTTTAACCTAGTATTTCAACAGACTTAACATTTCCAGGGTTTCACAAGGGCCAGATTTTATTTGAATTCTCAGAAGAGAAAGAAATTGTCTTCTGAAAGAGGTGAACTCAATCATTACCAATAGAAAAAGTATCCACTGTATTCATCTCTTATAGAAACAGAAAAATATAACATTTCCCCCCTTAGAATAATATATATATACACACACATATATATATGTATATATGACTTAACGTTCCATTGTACATAGCCAAACAAAATCTGGAAACCAGCATGAAACCCTATAATTCACGTTAAAATGTTGAAAGTATGACCAAAATACAAAAACTGCTACAGATGTCCCAAAGAGAGAAGACAAAAAGCTTTTTTGCGTATGTAGTAAACTAAATGTGATAATCTCCAAAAGGTTTTTAAAATTATAATTATTACCTTCCAGTTTAAAACCTTTAATTCTAAATTTAAAAAAAAAATCTATACACAAACCACTGATTTGACCAGACCCCAAAAAAGTCAGCGGTAAGCAGGACCCAGAGGAGCTGATATTCACAGTTCTCACATACAACTCTCAGGATTTATCCCATAAAGTACTTTATTTTACAACCTGCTTCTCTTGTAAAACTAAAGGTCCACTTTATTACATAAAAGTTTTATACAGTGTAAAACCAGAACTGTATGTAAAATACTGCATCTAAATGTTTCTAAATAGTTAGTCTTGTTCCATTGGTTCATCTGTGGCTTCTGTGGCTTCGTCATCATTTTCCATAGATGATTCTGAGAGAATCTTTCCAGTTTTACTGGAATTGGATTCTACTAATTCTTCTGATTCATGGTAATCAGAATCACTACTTACAGGGCCTGTATTTTCACTAACTTCAGAATGTAAATCTTTCTCAGGTTGAGTCAGATCAGATTCCTCCATTTGATTAGTTTCCTCAGAAGTCTCTTCATTCACAGTTAAGGCATCATCAGAATCTTTTTCTTGATTTTTTCTTTCTGGGATCATTTCTCTTGATGTCATAAAAGACTCTTCTTCTTCATCTTCATCCTCTTCCTCATCCTCCTCTGTACAGTGCTGCCTGGTACAACTACTTTCTTTGTTTTTGTCCCGTGATGAAGATGCTGCTTCTGTTTCTTCTATCATTACTGAAGATACTTCACTGGAAGATGTTTGACTGGCTGTCTCTCTGACTTCACTTTCTTTGTCAAACTTGAGTCTTTTTACCTCATGTCCCTCGGATTCCACAGCATCTTCATCTGGATGTTTATTTTTTATAGGACTCACTGAAGAACCTTCTGAGTCAAATGTCGGAGAGTCACTGCGACTTTTGTCTTCATTTTGCTGTAAATTTGGCTCTTTGCTCTCTGTGCTCTCAGGCAAGCCATTTGTAGTCATAGGGACTGACAAAGAAACTTTTGGTCGATTTTGGTCTGGGTGTTCCAGGACCATTTATGTTAGACCTGTCAGTATAATTTGGTGAATTTCCAGGAAACATAACACCATTCATTCGATTTAAACTATTGGAACTGTTTTTCTCTGAAGTAGGATAAACACAGCTAACAACCATCACATTCTTTTCTACTCCTCTGAGAAATTTGTCTGTTCCTGTATAGTTTCTCCTTGGATCTGTTAGCAATTCACATAGTCGCTGAATAGTGAAAGGAATAATCGTCTCTCCGGTCTTGGCGACGTGACAGAGAAACTGGTCCAGCACTGGGCACACTTCCTTCTTGCCCCTCTTCTCGAAATCGTTCAGCGCCTCCAGCAGCCTCTCGACGTCCATGGCTTCCCGGAGCTGCTCGCAGCCTCGCCTTGTCCGCTGCTCGCCCGGGGACCGGACCACCTCCCCCCACCCCCCCCCACGCCCATCCCCTCCCTCGCACACACTCCGGCACGTAGGCGACGGGGGAGGGGGGCACCGAAGGGAGCCGGGGGAAGCGAGCGAGAGAGCGAGACCGAGCGGGCGAGCACCTCCCGAGCCGCTACCACCAGCCCTCCAACATCGGTTACTTGCTCTTTAACTGTAAATTAGAATCTGTTCTAACAATAAGAAAATATTTGTGTTAAAAAAATACTGTTGGTGGGAATGTCCACTGGTTCAGCCCTTCTGGAAAACAGTATGGACGATTCTCAAAAATTAGAAATTGAGCTCCCATTTGACCCAGCAATACCACTCCTGGGAATATATCCCAGAGAGGCAAAAATGTATAGTCGAAGTGACATCTGCACTTGTTTGTTCATTGCAGCACTCTTTACAATAGCCAGAAACTGGAAGAAACCTGAATGCCCAAGAACAGATGACTGGTTAAAGAAACTTTGGTACATCTACACAATGGAGTACTATGTAGCTCTTAGAAAAGATGAAGTCATGAAATTTACATACAAGTGGTACAATATGGAAAGTATCATGCTAAGCGAAATGAGTCAGAAAGAGAGGGATAGACATAGAAAGATTGCATTCATCTGGGGGATATAAAGTAACAAATTATGAGATTAATACCCAAGAATAGCTGAGATCAGCACCAGGACGATTACTCCATAACTTAGAGGCCAGCAGGGTATCCTAGAGGAAAGGGCTGTTCAGATAGAGAAGGGAGCACCAAATAAAGGATGTTTGGAGGATCCTCCCAGGAGGGGAGATGCATGTCGAAAGTAGACTATGGACTGAACATGTTTGCCACTCAATGCCTCTTTTGCAGACCACAACACCCAAAAGGAGAGAGAGAACACAGGGGATTGCCCTGCCACAGAGACAGGGGGGATGGGGGGATGGGGGGATGGGGGTGGGAGGGATATTATCCATGGTGGTGGAAAATGGGCACTGGTGGAGGGATGGGTATCTGATCATTGTATTATTGAAACCAAAGCACAAAAAATTGTAAATCTACAGCTTTAAAAAAAATAAAATAAAATAAAGGAAAAAAAAAACAAAAAAAAAAGAAAAAAAAATTATCATACTTACAACACAAAAGAGAAAAACAGGTTCACACTTATCTTTAAATGATTGCAAAGTCACAATGTTGTCAGCCTCAGCCTGAAAAAAAAAACACATAAATACTTCTTATAAGAATAAAATAAACTATAATCAATAGTCATTTGCTGTATTGTGTTAGAAAACACGGTTACATAATATATTTATTTTTATAACCACAATTTTTATACACATTTTCTGAATATGTCATAGCTCTTTTAATAGTGAAACTGCATATTCTGGCATTTTCAGTCCTGAGTAATTTTATTTTAAATTTTCTTCTCTCTGTTTTGGCTTTCTGGTACTCAACCTTCAGCTATATTGATCAATTAGTCATGTAGAGATGATGCTATCCATCATCATCCTCCTTGCCTGCTTCTGCCTTAACTTTTCCAATCTCGCTTAAGCATCCTTTCAAGAAGTTTGTCTAGCTCTGCCTTGCTTCAAATGTTCATCTGCTCAATGGAACACTTTGCTGGGCCCCGCATGGGTGCTTATGTCCTTTTCATATTGCCCTCCAGTTTCATGGGCTACATTTATCTCCAGAGTTAGAAAGAGGCTTCTGTGTCCTACTGCACATTTCAGAACCATCTTCTTGCATCATCTCTTCCCCTGTTTGTCTTCGGCTGTGACTCTCCATAAAAGAGGAGTATAATTACTTTTGAACTCGTAGATGGATTTTTAAATGAACTCGTAGATGGATTTTTTAAAAATCAGATATACTTGTGATTGTTTATAGTTTTCTTCACAAATTGCACATTTCCCTAAATTGATAGCAAATGTAATAAGTTATCATGTGTTCTCTCACCCTTGACCCAGCTCTCAGAATGAGATCCTGTTTTCTACAATGGTTAGGTTTTGCCACCTATAGCAATGGTTTTCAAATAGGAATTTCTGAAATCTTTTCAACAGGTGTGAAGAATGTTCTGGGTAGGGGTAGGGAGATACAGAAGGAAGATTAGCAGATTATCTCAGGACTATATAGTTACCCACCCCTTTTTTAAAGCATGCCGAAGTCTACATAATTTTCTTTCTTCATCTTTTTTTGGTAGTGGGAGTAGTTCCTCCAAGCTGAGGACTGGGCTTACTTCTGGCTCTGCACTCAGGGAGCACTTTTGTCAAGGATCTGGAGATCATTTGTGATGCCAGGTGATGGTACCTGGCTGGCGGTGTTCAAGGCAAATACTTATCCACTGTCCTATTTCTCTGGCCTCTTTCTTCTACATCTTTTTCTTTTTAATAGAATAATTCTATTACTTTCAAACAACAAAAGTTAAGAGTCATTAATCTATCATATTAAAAATATAAATTCAATGATTATATTCAAAATTAGTTTAGTATCATTATGCATTTGTTTATAGCATTAATAAAATATTAAATAATCCATTTAATTCCAATAAGTAAAAAAAGTAAAGGCCCTCCCATTGTTCATCGATTTGCTCGAGCGGGCCCAGTAATGTCTCCATTGGAGACTTTGTTGTTACTGTGTTTTGCATATTGAATATGTCACGGGGAGCTTGCCAGGCTCTGCCGTGCGGGCGAGATACTCTCGGTAGCTTGCCGGGCTCTCCGAGAGGGGCGGTTTAATTCCAATAAATTTAATAATTTTAATAAATTTAAGTCCAATAAAATAATGCTTAGTGAATTTTTTGCATGCAAAGTTAAAATGACAGTACACATCTTAAAATACTTTGAAAGTACATATAAAGGAAAAAATGTGTGCCATTTTTTGGCTTAGCATGATTTCAGTTTATGTTTTCATGTTGGACTGACAATTCTTTTTAAATTTAAGGTTATGTTGGAAACATTTTCCCATGCTGAATATTAATCCTAAGTGTTTAAGTATTCATCAGTTAATTTCCTCCTTTCCTCCTCCCAGAGAAGCTTACAGAACTCTTATGAACACCCCCAACCCCCAAAATTTATCTTTAACCTTTATTTGTGTTAGTTACTAAGTCAAACCCTGTGGCTCTGTATTTGTACTGAATTTATTTTGTATTTGTAGTGAATCACTTGCTTTTTTGTTTTCTCTTACAGCTTTTCATATTTTACTCTAAAGCAAAGTTCTTTGCTTAAATACTTTGCATTAATTCTATGCTCCTATTATTTGAGAGTCGATATATCTACTCCTGTCATAATTACTTAACTCAGGTATCTGTTGCCATAGTTCCTAACACCCCATAAAGAGAGGTCCCACCATGGGATTAGATGGACCCAGGGCGAGTGGCAAAGCTACCACAGTATTGATATGGGACAGTCTAGAAAGCATAAAAGCACGGTCTTGATGAAAGTTGTGATGATTTAAGAGACAGGACCCCCATTGGGAAGGACAAGTTGACCTGTCCTGAGAACCTAGTCTGGGATTTATGGTAAAACCCAGCAGGCTTGCCCTCAGATCCAGAGAATTAGTTCTGGAATCTATGTCTCTTACTGTGTTTATCCAAATAACTGCAAGTATTAATAAGAAGTAAACTTAATTTTTTATGTACAACTAAAGGGAAAGAGAAAAAACAATATAGAAGTTCCTGGGAGACAGTATCTATCTGAGAATTGCCTTCACTGCTGAAATGTTTTACCTCTGTAAATAACCAATAACATCCACATGCCATCCTATACCTCAACCCCCCTTAAATGTACTATAAGTACGCTAACAGCTCTATATTAAACGGGCTACTTTGACCATCAGTCTGTGGTCCCCTGTCTCTCTGTTCCTCTGCTGGGGAGACCAGGGGGGGTATTTCTCAGTCACTGAATACAAGCTTTGCACACACACATTTTGAACTCACAATTATTTATTATTTAACTTTTTAATGAATCACTGTTAAATATGCAAAATTGTTTATGATTCAGTTTCAGTCACACAATGTTCCAATACAATACAATGTTCCCTTAGCCAGCACACAGTTCCTCCCAACAATGTCCCTAGTTTCCCTCCATGGTGTTCTCTCTCTCTCTCTCTCTCTCTCTCTCTCTCTCTCACACACACACACACACACACACACACACATACACACACACACTCACACACACACATTTTCCTCTTAGGCACTGTGGTTCACAATACTGTTACTGGAAGGGTATCATGCATATCTCTTTACCTCCTTTCAGCACTCAGTTCTTGTTCCCAGTGACCATTTCCAACTATCATTTTCATAGTGGCCACTTCTCTATCCTAACTGCACTCCTCTCTCCCCTTATGGCAAGCTTCTTCCCATGGACCAGTCCTCCTAGCCCTGACTTCTACTGTCATTGGGTATTATTCATATATTATTTTTCAATTATCCTTCAAATAAGTGCAATCATTCTATGTTTGTCCCTCTTCCTCTAACTCATTACACTCAAGGTGATGCTCTCCATGTTTATCTATGTATAAGAAAATTCCATGACTTCATTTTTTTTTAACTGCTATGTAGAGTTCTGCGGTGTAGGTATGCTGTAGTTTCTTTATTCACTCATCTGTTCTTGAACATTAGGGTTGTTCCCAGATTCTGGCTATTACGAATAGTGTTGCAATGAACATAGAAGTTTAGATGGCTTTTCTGCTGTGTGTTCTTGGGTCACTACTAGAGTATATTCCAAGATGTATACTACCGGGTCCTATGGAAACTCAAGTTTTAGTTTTTCAAATAATATTCACATTATTTTCCAGAAAGGCATTAATTGGCATTATCACCAGCAGTGAATCAGAGTCCCTTTCTCCCTCATCCACACCAGCACTGGTTGTTCTTGTTCTTTTTGATGTGTGCCAGCCTCTGTGGCATAGAAAGATATCTCATTGTTGTTTTGATTTGCATCTCCCTGATAATGGTGATGTAGAACACTTTTTCATGTGCTT